CCCGCAACCCCCCCCCCGTCCAGTGCTGGTTTATTGGTGACGTCAACAAGTTTTCTCGAACACTTCCACCGCAGTCGTCGTCATGTTGAACACGATGGTCGTCGTGTCGAACACGATGGTCGACACGGTCGTCGTGGTGTYGAACAATGATGGCCGTCGTGTTGAACACGATCGTCGTCGGGTCCGACACGATGGTCGTCGTGTCAAACACGATCTTCGTCGTGTCCGTCACGGTCGTCGTCGTGTCTAGCACGCTGGTGGTCGTGTCGAACACGATCCTCGTCGTGTCGAACACGATCGTCGCCGTGTCGAACACGATCGTCGCCGTGTCGAACACAATCGTCGCCGTGTCGAGCACGATGGTGGTCATGCCGAACACGATCGTCGCCGTGTCGAACACGATCGTCGTCGTGTCGAACACGACCGACGTCGTGTCGAACACCACCACCATCGTATCGAGCACGGTCGTCGTCGTGTCCGACACGATCGTCGATGATGGTCGTCGGGTCCGCCACGATCGTCGTCGGGTCGGACACGATGGCCGTCGTGACGAGCACGGTGGTCGTCGTGTCCACCACAGTCGTCATCGACACGATCGTCGTCGTGTCCGACATGATCGCCGTACGGTGGTCGTCGTGTCGAACACGACGGTCGGTCTAGTCCTGACGCCGTCGTCGTGTCGAACAAGATGGTCGTCGAGTCCTGACGCCGTCCTGTCGAACACGATCGTCATTGCCACGATCGCCGTCGTGACGAGTACGGTGGTCGACGTGTCGAACACGATGGTCGTCGAGTCGGACATGACCGTCGTCGTATCCAACACGTTTGCCGTCCAGTCGAGGGCCCTCGTGTCGATGACCGTCGTCGTGTCGAGATCGGTCGTCGATCATGACCATCGTCGTGCCGAGAGCGGTCGTCGGTCGCGACCGTCGGACGTGGTCGTCGAACACGACCGTCGTCGTGTCAAACACGATCGTCGTCTTGGGCACGATCGTGGTCATGTCGGCCACGGTGTTCGTCGTCGTGTCGAACGCGATCTTGGTCGTGTAGAACACCATCACGGTCATGTCGAACACCCTGCTCTTTTTCGCCACAACCTCCACCTTCGTTTCGACTTGCACAGATTTAGTGCGAGTTGCGCCAATAGAACATCTTACCCGGGTGACTGTCTTTTGTCTCTTGTAGCACTGACTGCTTGTTGCGAGATTGAGATAATATAAAATGGAGCCCCTGTCGTGTTGGGCGCGACATTGGTGTTGCCGCAGTCGTTCGCCTGCTCACCCTGTTTTTTTGGAAACCCGTCGTGCGTCGTCGAACGAACTCTGCACGAATTTTGCTTCGAATCCTCGGAATCTGGTACCCGGGAATCAAGATGGGGGACCCTTCCATGTTGGGCGAGGCGGTCGCATTGCCACGATGGTTTTCCTGCTCACTCGTGGCAGTTTTCCTGCCCTCCCTGCGTGGGTGGTGAGTACCACGAGTGTCGGGAATCAAGACGGGGGACCCTTCCGTGTTGGGCAAGGCGGTCGCTTTGCCACGATGGTTTTCCTGCTCACTCGTGACAGTTTTCCTGCCCGTTCTGCGTGGGTGGTGAGTACCACKCGTGTCYAGTCGCTGTAGTTCCTGGAGTAATACATAATCTTTCCTACCAATGCCCTCGTGCCAAGCTGTGTGCTGCGCACCAGAGTCTTCGCCGTTCCGYTGTTGGTGCCCGCTGGGTTTTGCGCGCTGTGGTCTCTGGCTTTYCGAAGCTGGTGCCCGACGTGACATGTGCTGCATTTCCTGTTGCGCGTTAAGATCTCTGCCTTTTCAATGCTGTCACACGCTGTGTTTTCCGTTGCTGGTGCCCCGACTTGACATGTGCTACGCTTCCCACTGTCGTTCGATCTCCGACTTGGACATACTGTTTTGCGTGTATTGCGCCTTTGGCAAGGATTGGGCCTGATGACTGGATTGCTACCCAGATTCCACRGTCGTGTGTTATCCTCTCTCGGATGTTTCCTGTTCCCCTCCGTCCAGTGTACGACTGTGTTTCTCAGGGTCATTTATAGGGTTGTGTTTCTCGCTGTTGTGTAGGGATGGTTGTCTGGTCCATTTCATTGACCTCTGATTTGCGCCTTTGACAGTGGTCCGCTGTTTTGTTGTCGCAGGCACGTCTTGTGCATGGCTTGTGGTGTGCATGCTATGCCACGACAGRCTTGCAACACAAACTTGGAAAGCATGGACTGTGTGGCGTCTAATACAATGCTCAATGAGGATTTTCCTCCACCGCACCTGCCAATGTGTTCACAAGATGTTCGAAGTGGTCACGAACGTGTTGATAATGCTCCGGAATCTCCTGCTCATAAGAGGTCACGAAATATTGCRTGTGCAAACACTACATGTGAAAGTGCGTATCCCATCCTTCGATGCCCGGTTCGAACCTATGATGCAGAAAGTGCTGAAGGTCAGGAGGGTAAGGCCTCCTCTACTGACAGCGGCGCATCCGATGTAGATCGTGTTGTATGGGTGCCGAGGAGTTTACTTCGAGATTTCGAGTACACAGGTCTTCTGTTTGGTGAGAGTCATGAAGGTGGTTCATATTCAAGTGCTTCGGTGTCGTCTAGTGCTGATAGTTCTCCAGATAAAACCGATCATCCGCAAACGTGCGTTGAACGGAACACTGACCACTGTTGTCGAAATGACGATGAGACTTGTGACGCGATCTCTGATTTCGATGACATTTTTCCAAAACGTTTGTCCTCAGAGAAGCGTCCTTATACTTTTCGTCTCACAATGCCGCGGTCAAAGAAGATTCTGCAATCARTTCATAGAAAACTCACCAACAAAGCACTGGCGAGTGTGCGTGGGCAAGTTTGTTGTAAGCGAGAGTGTTGCGCTCAAATGACCCTGGACGACATCAAAGCTGTCCGGAGCGCATACTACTCTAAGAACCASCAGAGCAGGGATGCATGGTGGGTTGAAACGTTGAAGAGGTTCACYTTCATAGAAGATGAAAATGAGATTGTTCAACCTATTGTGGGGAGACGAAAGTTGTGCATTAGTGCTTGGTGTTTCACATTAGGTGTATGTAGGAATACATTTCTCAAAAAAAGGATGACTTTGTCAAAATGCTACATTATGCCGGAGCTTGGCAGTACTGGACTTAGACGCACATAAGCAACATATGCGACGATGTACGGGAAACTAAGCTCCTTCATGCAAGACGACGGAGATTCCGTGCCCAATGACATGAAGATCAAAGAGGGGGAATCGAGAGTGGTGTTGAGATTGCCTGCTTGCTACAACAAGGTTGATATTTATAAGTTGCTAAAGTCGCAATTCGACAACATGGGTACTCCTTGTGTTTCTCTCCAAGTTTTCTACAACATGTGGAAAACGCAGTTCTGGCATGTGAAATTTCRTGACATTAATCAAAACTTTGCGAAATGTCAGAAATATGTCGAATACAAAGAATCTATCAATTCCGCAAAGTTCGTGCGTGTGCATGAGTACTTTGTTTCGTTAGGCGAGAAACATTTGGACTTGCAGCTCTAACATCGTGCTGCGTATGAGGTGTGGAAGGATGAGTCGAAGAGACCGGGTTCCA